TAATCCTAAAATATATTATTAAAGTCAACATCCTAAACTTTTCCCTATATATATTACCGCCGCTTAGCTTCAGTTTTTGAAACATTCGCAAAAACATTTTACCAAATATAAGTATATTTTACTAAAAATATTTTAACCAAATATAGCAGAAATTGTCAGAAGTTTAATAAAGAAACTAAAGAAGAGAAATGAAGCGATAACATGAAAATTGTCTAACCACTCGTTGAAAATTGCTTTTCTTTTTGCCAATTCCGAGTTTTCTTATTTTTCATAGATCCATAAGAGATCCACATGATACACATATACACACACTCGTATGCATATTCGTTGCCACGTCCAATCATTACTAACCATAATTAATCATTACGGCGCGACGCGAGGTCTTTGATCGGTGCTTCGAAGGTTTTTCTACATATATTTGTTAAACATTTGTTAAAATAAACCGAAAAAAATCAATATGTATTTAATTACTGATAAACAGGCATATCACGCTTTATTTGTACAAGCAACATTTCATAGTGATTTATTGAGTGACTGGCTTACGCTATAGTGACAACTTCTTTACAAAATATTGATAAAGTAGATAAAGTTGATAAGATTTAGTTATTAATTGACGATTCTAATAATTTAAACATTTTATCGTGCATTTCAGATTTATATACATAGATCGAAACTGAAAGTATGTATTTTCTTGTAATGCCATTATTATATAGAAGACAGAAACAGTCGTTGTTTCATTTCCGTTTAAATCTTTTATTTTTATCCTCTTTTGTTCGTCTCGAATTAATTATTATTAAAGTAAAATGAATATAGATTCGTTTCAATAAATTTAAAATAATTTAAAAAGTTAATGTAGATACAATGTGAGGCCACTGTATATATTGTATCTACATTAATTCAAGTTAAGTGAGGCCATCTAAATATCTTTTCGAATTGTAATAATGCAAAAAATATTTTTTTCTTAACATGAATAGTATCGAAAAGCCAATAACTAACAAGAATATTTATTTTCAAGATTATTTTTCTCCATTTATATATTCGAACTATTTCTGTCACTAATTTGTCAGTGTTTATAAATGAATATTATATCGATCTTTTCTTGCATTGAATAAATTTTAATATGCTGATCAAGATTTCAAGCTACTAGGAGAGATTGATGATGTAATAAATAGTAAATATGTTTATTTACATTATTATAAGGTCCTCGATCTTGGCTAAACTCTTTGTGACTTCGATAGAGATAAATTTATATGTAAAATTATTATTAAATTATCAAGGTCATGTTCTTTACATATTTGAACGTACTTTTTACCACCTGCACGATAAAATAATACACATAGTTGTATGAAAAAAAATCAATGACCTTGAAAACTCAAAAAAAAAACTTAAAAAAAGACATTTTTACTAGTTATTGAGCTTTTAATACCATTCATGTTAGGCAAAAATATTTTTTGCATCATCACAATTCGAAAAGATATTTAGATGACCTTACTTAAATAGATCACCCTGTATATATGCCACATATGCTAAGTTTTTCAAAACTTATTTATTACACGAAAGTTTAAGACGCTTTCTTGAACAGTTTTTTTATTTTTATTATGTTGTAACATATTAACATGCAATATTACGAATCTATTCCAATATATATATATGTATGTATTTACATTGCATGCATGATATTTATATCGCATTTTTATTGTGAAGAGATGCATTTTGCATAGGAATCTGTGCTACTTTTCTATGATTAAATTTTAGTATATACATACTTATTAATGTACAAAACGGTGGATAGCGATTTTTCTTTTTTTTTTTTTCTTTTTAGCTATATACATAGTTTCCATACAGATGATACCAAGCAATCGCTATTTTTTGTTTTATGAAATTAATAAATTTATCATATAAAATTAAATCATAAAAAAATAGAATAGCCTCCTGTACAAAATGCATTTCTTTACAATTAACATACAATCAATTAACACATTTTCTTGTTTAAAAATCTTAGGACATTTTTTACTTTTAACCCTCCAAATTATGTCGTTAATGATATTTCACTCATGAATTCTTTGAAACAAATTTTTATTTTTGTTAACCTTTTAAAGATTTGATTTAAAAACTGATTCTATAATGTAGAAAGATTTTGTTAAATAATTTTTTTATATTATATTATTTTATATTTTTGAAGCTTAGAAAAGTATTTATTGTAAATGATAAAATTTTTCAATTGTGCGTATATTCATGGGAATAAAGGAAATTTGTATTCGTACTTGTTTCCAAACTAATAACATTCGAAAATAATATTAGTGTAAGATTCAGTATACAATATACTCCTGCTAAAAAAATCTTAGAACATTTCTTATTTTAAATATTCGGTATTTATTATAGATAATAAAATTTTTAACTGCACGTAATGCAGTTGTTAATATATTAACATTTGACTGATTCTTTTTTATATAAAGTATTATTTAATTTAATAGTTCGATATATAATTAGATAGATAACGTAATTTTTCAATTTTCAAATCTTCTAATTTTGAAAGTAGTGCCAATCTTAATATTTTTAGGTGTCAGAATAAACGTACAAATAGAGTCGAATATTTTTTTGCAATTATCTCTAAAACTAAAGGATACCACCTATTATATACATATATAGAAAAATATTGTTCGAAGTGATGTCCTTGACAACATTTAAATCCGTGAGTAATAACTTTTCCAAACATTTATCGAAATCATTATGCTACAAAAATCATGACAAACAAACTTTTTAGAAATTTTATTATTAATACATCATTAATATATCATTAAAATAATGGATATTATTAATAAATAGTAGAATTTATTTAGGAATAGTATACACAAACTTATAAGTTGTTGCTAAAAGCGTTGATTATTACGAATTGAGCTATGAAATATTTAACTTTTCGAAAAATTCAAGGATTAACACAAATTTAAGCAAACAAGAACAGTTTACAATTCTCTTTGATTGCAAACATTTATCCAATATTACAGGCGCATTAGAATTTCGCTCGATTTCGTTAATCGGGATTGTTTAATTTCACGGTACACACGCCGCGTCAATGATTGTGAAAATAGAGAAATAATGAAGGTAGGAGAGAGACAAGAGGGTGTATATGCACCTATGAGAGAGGAATACGAACACAGGCAAAAAAGAAACAAACTGATCAAATTAGAAAAGAAGATAAAAGAAAAAAACAAAGGAAGAAATAAATAAGAATTGATAGAAATAAAAAGATAATGATAATAAAAATTAATGGCAAAATACATTGTCTCAATTACAAATTTAACTCTGCAGCCCAGGATATAAAAATCGGAAAATTCAAGCCTAATAGTCTTTAATTTATTTTTTATCTTGTAACAAACACTTGATAATAATAATTATATTTGCAAGAGGATACTTGTAATATTATTGTATATTTCCTGCGATTTTTTATTAAAACTACTGACAAAATTCAATTTTACTATTGTACACATACGTATATGACAAAATACTACGTAGGGAAACTAAATAATTACAAGACATAGTGATGAATATGATTTGTTATTGTATATACAGTTTGAGAAATAAAATGATCATATAAATTAACACCAGTGCATATCGTTATGACTAATACTAAATATTAACGACAAGGATTTCCACTGATTGATACGTTGGTTTTAAATAGAATCAAGTGAGATCAGATCACGTGAAAAAAGATTTCGAAAACGTAGTTTCAAAATGAAACCTCTGGGTCGGAAAGAATTGAGAGCTGTGACTTATACAGGAATAAATATAAGAAAATAATAAAAAATAAATATAAAGGAAATAGAAAATAATTAATATAAAGAAAATAAAAAATTATAAATTATCAAAATATTTGAATTACAATCAAAAATAATAAAGAAAACATAAGGATAATAAAAATAAGAAAAAATGTACATTCTTATACTGAAAGAATATAATGGAAAGAAAGAAATATATAATAGCTGGCATGAATAATGTAATTATTATCAATGTAATAATTACTATAATGTAATTATTACTATTCAATAAAAAATTGCAACATTACTAGAAATAATTAATAAAGAATTAATTATGCAAATAATCACTTATTATATATTATATATAATATATTTATATGAATTGTTTATTACATATGTATTTATTAAATTATTAAATATAAAGGAATTAATAGAATTCTTGAAGCACTTGGGAACAAATCGAAATATAGTAAATAAGTTTTGATGCATATGTGATTGACGTTTATTTTAAAGTAATGTATAAATCTTCTAGAAATTTAAGTTAAAATTAAGAAAGTAAAAACAAAATCTTGGTAATCTTTGTTAAAATTATTATAACGATAAAATGAAGTAATATCTTATTATTTATATACATAAATTGATGTTGATGTGTACAATAAAATAATGTGGGACAATGATAAAAGCCTGTTAATTAACTACATTGTATTAAACTAAATATAAATACTAAATAAGCATTTATATTTAAATACTAAATAAAAATATAACGATAAAGTTAAAATTATTGTACAAAAATTAATTAAGCAAAACTAATTCAAATTGTTGTACGCTGGGTAAATTTTTTTATTTAAGTAATTATGAAGCAAAAAATTAACTAAAAAATAAAAAGATAGAACAAAAAATTAAAGGGAGTTAAAAAATTGTTTCACACACTAAAAATAGATAGAAAATTACTTTACATACCAAATATTTATATCAAAGCACTTTGAATACTTCACACATTTCTTCATATTATATGCATTCTGTAAAATTTTGTATCTCTAAATTTTTCAATATCTGCAGTTTAATTGTTACTCTGCATTATATAATGTACACAATGGTGACTCAATTTATGTAAATTTAAGGTACTTTCGCTTCATAGGTGTTTTGTATAGAGAAACGTATATTAGATTATTGAACTGCTTGAATGATACGCACAGTCAAATAACCTAATACGAATAACGACATCATTAATACCTTCATTTCCAGACTTCGACGGCGACAATCAAATCTCATTGGATGATTTGATCGAAGCTGTGCACAGACTGACATGGACCAAGCAGGATGAACATGAAAGCATTGATAAGGCGGAAGCGGAACGCATCGCACGAATGGTAAGTTTTGATAGTATTTAGTGCTACAAGTTAATTCTAAAGATGATGAACGTAACACAGAAAACGTTCCAATATCGTCGATTATTATTATCATTATACGTTATACGATATCAATATATCATTGCTTTCATTTCTATATAAATATTCTGAAACAAATCTGACAGCAATATAACGTTTTCAGAATTCTTTTTCTATATTTATGATTTATAATTGATCAAAATTTGAAATGGGTTTAAATTGTAATTAATTAATTGTTTTAAATCAGAAGTTATTTAAAAATATAAGAATTTTAGTTACTTTAAAACATTGTATGATACATCGGAGATATAATAATATATAAATTATTCTTCAATAAAGAATTATTTAATAATAAAATAATTAAGTAAAAGATTCTTCAATGCTACATATTTTTAGTTATAATTCTGAAATAACAGATGTTTGCATAATTTCAACAACTTCTAGTGTAAGATTATTTGACAATGAATAAAGAAGCCACGAAATAAAGTCTAATAACAACTGCACGAAATGATATCTTCATTTGCCTTAACTAAGATTACAATCATCGAATTTTTTTCTTCATTCTTATTGCTAGAATAGTAGAGTAGTAGTATTATTTTTGGATTGAATATATATTTTATAATTTTTTTCTTCGTACTACTTACAATTAGTGTTACCTTTATTTTAATCAATACACATATTTTGCAGAATTGCATGATTCTTTTTGCAACTTTGCCTCGTAAAATATTATCGAAAGAATACTTTGATCATAAAATTCAAAGTCAATGCCAATTGTATAATATAATTGTAAAATATAAAATCATGCGATAATTGTTTGTATAATCCGGAGATGTAATTTTAAATTTTCTTAATTCCCCTAATGCTAAAATTGTTAAATTCTTTTAAATAATGCAATTATGCGATACAATAATATTATAGTGTGATGAAAATTACATAATTTAAAAAGCGTAGGACGTTACAGACACATTTCTCGAACAATTATAAAAATTTTGTTCAGTTATTTTCAAATTTGAAATTAATTGAATTTCAAAATAATTCCAAATTTATTATTAAATTTAATAAAAATTTCGTTTAAAATTTAAAACATTCGTAAGTAACGTACGTGATATTTATTATACCAAGTTAAAATTAGAAAGTGTGTGTAATTTCGATTTATAATTTTCCAATATATGAAAATTAAAGAAAAAATAGGATTGAGATTTTCTGAGGTTTTGTGATTTCTGAAGAAGAAATGATAAGACGAAAATGTAATTAGTAGATTTCGTTTACGAAAGCACGCTTGACGAATGCTTACGATGAACGGTAAAAAAAACATAAAAAGCTAAATTTTGGTGCGAGACGTAATTGAGATATGCAATATACTTCACAGAGAGTTAAGACAAGAATTTTATGACGACCATCAAGTTTTAACGATTGCTGGAGGTTACCACAGAAAATTCTTTGTATATTAGATATTTCATGTCTATGATATCAGCAACTTTACTTGTCTGAGAAATTAGTATTAAGTATGTAAAATAAGAAATTAATATAAAAGTTTAAAGAGTCTCGTTTTAAAATGATGTATAAAAATATTTATTAGCTTACTGTTAAACAAATACTTACTACAAATACAAATATTTAATATTTTAATATAGAAACAATTTTAATATTATCTATAATTATACTTGTATTCATAAATTTTATAAAATTAAAGTTGAAACTAATAATTTTTCAAACATTTTACGTAAACTAATTTATCGAATACATTCTTCAACAAATTTTTCTGTTAGTAAATAATGAATTCTATTTTCTATTTCATTCTATTTTATTTTTAGGAAGATATTACAGATTATTCTCTTATTGTAGATTGAATTTTTATACCAAGTTCTCTTTCAAAAAAGAGTATTTTGTAGTAAAAAAAGAAGTTCTTTTATTCTCTCTGACGATAATCTGAAACATAGAGATTTTATTTGCGGATTTTATGTTCAGATATTTTCTTCGTTTCTTTAGAGGTGGTTCTACTGCTTCATTGAAAGTACCATTGATTGGCCTAGATCGAAAAGCATTTATTGTTACCTCAAATGCGTTATTATATATAATGCCGAACTTCGCAATTGGAATTGTTCTGTAGTTTAATTTTGATTTATCTATTCTTTTATATGCTAGTAATAATGTTCTAATTTGAAACCTAATCACGTATTGCTATTATTTTTTAAAATAGTTAGTTACAATCAATTTTTCTTAGCAGAGATTCTTTCCTTGGCGTATTACAATTAAATTATTGGCAAATGGTAATCTTTTGAGTGACAATGAGAAATAAGGATATACTTAAAAGAATTATAATAGACTGTTTTCAATGACTTACATGGAAGACAGAACATTAGCAGGTTTGATTTTGATAATTCTTCTGTATAAATAAAATACTAATGAAATTGAGAATGTTTCTTTTGAATTTATGGTATCTTACCAGATATATATCCATAGATTATATATTGAAAAATTCTATAACATTATTGAATTTATATTTTATTATGTTTTTATATATTTTAAATTTGTACATTTCATATTTCATAAATTTATATAGACTATAGCAAGAAGCCGAAATACCTTAATTTTTACCATATTACTTGTTCTTTGCACTTTTTTGAATCATTTCCTTTTCTCGAAAATATATATTATTAAAAATTATTAAAAATATTAAAAATTTTTTGTAACTAATGTGCATTTTAGGCAAAAAATATTATTTGTTTTCTATTTATTTCTTACATTTATCTATTTGTTAGCCGTTTCATTTTGTATTTCCATTCTTTCTTTCTATAATAGTTTTTAATTTAAATTCTTTTTAAATCTCTAATTTACGAGCAGTTGAATATCCTTCAATTTTTGTTAACTTAATATTTCAAGACAATCAATGTTTTGAAAACTTTTGTATATTTTCCAAATTGTTCAGATAATAAGAATTTTTTAAGAAAATATTAAATAAGAAATATTTTAACAAAATATTTTAATCTATTTAAAATTTACTTTAAATATTGAGATAACTTTATAATTTTTGATAATTTTGATAACTCTTTATAATTTTTAATAATATAATATAATAAAACAGGATATTTTTATTTGTTTCTTTATTAATGACTTGATAATGTTTATAAATAACAATTTTTAAAAATAACAGATTTTTTATTGATAAGTTTTTCTATCACATTCGTAAAATTTTCTGACATTGCTGTTATACAATTATCAAATTTAAAATATATTATACACAAATTAATATTAAGCATTTATATTTAATACAGCATCGTTCATTCTGTCATTCATTTCAAGAATTTTAATATAGGTTCATTTCTAAACTTACACGTATTGTTCGTCTATATACTTGCATTTTACTTTTTTTTTTGTCTAAAAAATATGGAAAATTTGATGTTAAATTTTAGCGTCTAAAAATGAATATGATGTATATACATAGTATAGTCGAAAAGAATTTTGTTTGCATGTGTCGACGAGTTTATTAAGAACTAACAATAAGTATAGGAAATAATAGAAAATAATGAGTATAGGAACTAATAGGAAATAATGTAAAAAGATATATTTCTTTAAAAATTAATCAGATTTATTATTAACAAAATATTATTATAAATTTATTATAAAATAAAAATTCTCAATAAAAATTTATATGCAATAAAAATTTATATAATGATTCATATAAAGAATTCAATAAGTAATAGTTTTTATAATATAATTATGTACGATTTTACATAGCAAATGATTTAGTTGATTGCTATTATGTTTCCTATTCTGTATCTGTTACAACTATCACCGTTATTTCTAATTAACCGTTAATCTATTATTTTATAATTATATATCAAGAATTTGCATTTATTATAAGTATTTAGACCACTTCATTGGAAAGAAAAAACACAAATATAATTCCATATGTAATCTATACTTCTTCTAGTACAATATTAATGTATATTTGAGATACTAATACTAATTCTTAGTATTTTTATTATATTAATTTTTAACTTATTTTAATGGTACATTTTTGCAGAAATCGGATATTACTAAAGCATCATTAACGGTTTTGTATGTGTGTATTACATGAAATCTTATACTTATAATCTTGTAATTTTGTTCCAATCGTTCTTATTATTTTTACTTGCAGTACCTACGTATTCTTATCTTTGACATTAAAATTAATACATTAAAATTTAGCGATTCTTGATAAGTATACTTCTTATTTCCTAGTTATTTACTGTCCTATAAGGATTAAACTAAAAGAAATAGGTACATTCTCTTGCATGCACGAACAAGAGAGAAATGAACAATGGACAAATCATTTTTTAATCATTGAATTCAAATAATATTTCTTCTAAAATATGTTTTTAATATTTAAAATATGCTCTTAAATATGTTTTGAAATATAATAGCATACCAAAAGGAATCAGTGAACTCAAATATGTAACTAATTATTATTTTAAAACGAAATATCTATTTATTTTTTACATGATTACCTCTATTTACAAATATTTCGTATAGTTATAGTTATGTTGTTAATATGATTACCTCTATTTACAAATGTTTCATATAGTTATTTATGGTGTTAATATGATTGTATTTCCACAATAATGTCGTTATGATGAAAATTTTAATTTCAAATATTTGCTATCGTACAACATTTTTGAATACAATATTCAATGCTAAAATATTCATAAGAGAATGTACATTTTAATAATTTTGAATCATTTATTTCTTTTAGTACTATAATTATTATTATGATCCTCGGAATGTATTATGTATAATTCTTAAATTGTATGTTTTTATATAAAGAATGAAAATGTGCTTAAAGTTCTTCAAAATTCATATAGTTAATATGATCCAAATGTACGTTACGATGTAACGTTATAATTATTTTTTTTATGAAGCGTATTTGCATAAATTATTTCTTTTCAAATAAAGATACAAGTTTATTAAAATTGTTTAAGGATATGAAATTGTGATTATATTATATGAAATGCAATTTGAAAAATCAAATGAAAAGTAAATTGGAAATGTGATTTGGATTGAATGAGAACAAAATTGCATTCATAACCATCATTTCACTATTTGAAATTGCTTTATTAATTATATTTAATTATATTATTTAATTACATTGTTCAACAATATTAAATCAGAATTTTGACAATTTATTGAATGAGATATTTCCATGAACTTCAATTAACAACATTTTCATTTTATTTCAAATCAACCGAAAATTGTAATCACTATAATTTAATAATATGTTCAACCCAACATTCAATATTGGAAATGGAATTCATATTTCTCTCTATTTTTAGTTAAATTTATAGCTATTTAATTTATGTGACAATTGCTAGTTCTTAACATTTTTATCGTTATACATAAATATTTAAAGATTTGAAAATATTAACAAGAATTTATAATAACGTATTTACAAAAATGTAATTTTAACTACTCAACGCAAATATTCGTTAACGTTTTTAAGTTCCCATAAATATAGCCTATATTACTGATCGAGATCCAACTTTCGAAGCAATAAAAGTGTTGGAGTCTTTTCACATAATACGGTTTTTGCTATTTGATTTTCATCGTTCGACTGAAAATGAATGTTCGTCGATTACCAACTGGTATAATATTCGTTTTCTCTGTCGCATAGCTGTGCTGATATTCTACTTTTCCTTTTTATTTTTTTTTTAACTTACTTTTTACTTAAATGCGCAAAGCGCATTTTGCAATTTCATTTCGAGTCAGAGAGAGAGAGAGAGAGAGAGAGAGAGAGAAAGAGCGCAATCAAACGTTGATCATATAGTCTGGCAAAAATTTGCAGTACCACGGAATTCTCTTTGAGCATTTTTGCATTGTCGAGCAGTTGAGAAAAAAGAAATATATATATATATTTTTATATAATATTCGTTTTTAATACCGCCGTACTGGTTACGTGTATAATCGAGTGTGTCCTGTTACATAGAATAGAATACATAAAAGTCTTCGATCGATTTATAACACGTTCGTTTCGAAATGACTGTTTTTCAGAAAGAATATTTTTGGTATTGCCGACAATATCTTTTATTACAATGAACTTAGGAATCTCGTTTCATTCCATTCTCAATGGCTGATTACGTCATAAACCAAATTTCCGAAGAGACGTGACAAGGTACGTAATGATATTTCACACGTGTACCATCTTTATAGCCTGCCCGGAGTTCGAAATATTATTACATTCCTATTTTAGAAACAGGAATTTTTGAAAAACGGGCGCATCGAGGACGACTATGCTGATTATAAAACAATTTTGTGCAAATTAGCGTACCTATTTATGGACAGAACTTGTCGATGCGAAGACAGACACCAGTTGTTCTTCGAGCAAGACACCAGTTATTCATCGATACATCCGTTAGTTCCATTTTCTATTCGCTAATTAAAATATAAAATATCAAACTAAGAAGACATTATAAAAAACTATAAATTATATCATACATTGGTTTGTGACAGATTTTTTTATGTTATTGAAGAGTTTAAAAGCGACATTATAAATTTTAAATTTACTATAATTATTATGCGTGTATATCTTTTGCTACGACAGACTAGTATAAACTGTAAATATAATACTAGTATGTATCTGTAAATTATAGAGTAGAATTTTTCTTACAGAAATGACACACCATATTATAAAGTCATCGCTCCATTTATTCCGATAACGCGAAAATGCTATTAATTGGTCAGCTGCCGCCGGTAATGCATACATAATCGATCACTAGGACCGGTTGATTTACGAAGAACTTTATGATACTCATTTATGTAGTTCTGTGAGTTATGAAGAAACTTAGGTACGTGATAATTACTAAAAAAAATCTACCATTTTTATCAATAATTTTAAAAATTAATATTAACACGTATTATTATTATTTGATTAATTACTTATTAGAGTTTTTTTTTTAACAGAAAATGTAACTAAATATATCAAATTCAATTTAATTTAGTTTGTATTTAAAATTTATAAATCTCTATATTTATAGCGCTAGAAAGTACGAGAAAATTTTAAAATCCAATATTATATAGGGAATGATGAAAATAAAATTTTTATAATATAATTAATTCAGTTTCTGTATACTATCCATTTCAGCTATCAAAACATTAAGAATTTGTTGATCATAATGTTCTAATTAATATTAACTAATCGGATTTAATTATGTGAATAATTGTCAAGAATATATCATACGTAATGTTATACATAATTTAATGGAATTTAAAAATATTTTATAATTAGATATTTTATAATCCTAATCATGTTGCATTGTGTTATATTTAAATAATTCTAGTAATATCATAAAATATATTTCTCTACTTTGGATATTTCTTGTATTTTTATATTTTATACGTATTTTATATTTTTTAGATTTTCGAAATTTTAAATTTCTCATAAATGAATAAACATCCGCATTTTAATGAATAGACTTATTCTTATGTAATATGAATTCTTATGGAATATGATTTATTTACATCAATACATCAAATTACATTATAAAATTTATTCCTTTTAGAAATAAAAATAAAAATAAAAATAAAAAAAAGAACAGCAGGTAAAAATGCTATTTAATTCTTCAAATAGAAATTATACTGTAAATCATAAAAAATATATCACAAAAGGTTTATTAATATCATTAGTATTAATATAGATTCTAAATATGTCACTTAATTATATATTATACATTATTTTGTATAATTATTTTAATCATAAAATATGAAGTCTTAATAACGTCACATGATAGTAATATTTAGATAATTTATGGAATTAATTTCATATCTCGTTTTTCAAATAAGCGCCGGTATCTCTTCAAAATACCACAGGTCTCTATTAATCTGTCAAGTTGATAAAGATTGATTTTAAACGTAGGTGGCATTGATTGAGAGGAAATCCACTAAATCGTCCCTTTTTTTTTAAATAAAATTTATCAATACACAATATTGCTAAGTCATAAATAAGAAAATTGCAGTGAACTGCAAATATTTAGTGATCGATAGTCTAATGCATTTCCAGAATATGTTATCCTATAATTAACAATTAAATCAAGCATTTATATTGCATCAAATATATTTCTTTTTTAATTTATATTGCGTTCAATATATTTTTTTAAATTTTCTCTTTGTGAAACATAGAAAACAGAAATAGAATGCTTTATAAATTATGTTTCTTCAAAAATGTAAATTTTTCCTTTTATATGCTGTTTATCTCTAAATGAATCAAATTATTTCTAACAATCAAATCTCCACTGACAAATTAATTATATCAATTAAATTAAATCAATTAAAAGTACATTATGATAATTCATTAAATTTTTATAATTAAAAATCACGCAATGAAATGAAACAATCTATGCAATAATTGCGCTAATTGAACTATCGTTAAACGAATTAATATTTTATAAAATCATTATTTATTGTTCAAAATGAGAACAAAATCATTTGGTAATTTGTTAATAATTCTACGTAATTAATAAATTTATCTGATAATATGTAGAGATAATATTCCTTTAGAAATAATGAATCTTCGAGCTGTTCTTATTTTCTGCAAAATTAGTAACTAAGCTTTAAATTTTACGTATTATACTTCATATTAGATATGCGGACATATTCTTCGCTATTATTGAATATTAAAAATTAAAGTATTAAGTTTACTAAAATTATTAGGAATATTAGATCTGTCCGCAATTATCAATAATAAATTCAATTTTATTCATTTCTTTTTGTGCTTCTCCACATAAAAAATAATTATTCACCCAGACATTCAATCAAGATAGTATTATTTTATCTATCAAAAAACATTTGAATAAAATATTACATCTAATATAACTAAACAACTTTTATTTTGAAAGCAAATTTATCACATGAATATATATAAGTTGAGTCTTATACCCGAATTGACTTTGTGCTCTGAAATTGTGCTTCTGAATTAGTACATCTATTCAATATTTTCACCACACAAAATTTGAAACATTATAATAGATTATTAAATAAGAATATAAAACTTTTATGTATTACTATAAAAAATCAAATGTTATCAATTAATAATTTAGATTTAGGAAATAAAAATTATAATGAAGTTAAACATAAAAAATTTGAAACAAAATTTATATAAAAAAATACAATAATGTTTATAACTTAGATTTATATCTACATAATATATCCATGAATTTTATATTAGTAATAAAAGTTTTATATCATGCTTATTAACACTAGAACTACCAACAACTAAAGTATAATATTTGTAGCGAAGAAATTGAAAGGCAATGTACAAGAAAAAGTTAATAATACAATAAAAAACACAAACTTCAATTAATATATTTTATTAAGAATCACTCGAGTACCTAAAAATACCGTTATAAATATATAAAATTTCCATAGAAAATTATAAATTATAAATTAATAATAATAATTATAAATTAGTCATTTTGATCACTTTGGTAGTTCTAATGTTAAATCTATTATCGATAATGTTATATCTATTATCGATTTTTCTACGCATTTTATTTATAAGCAATATAAATATATTATATTAATGTGTCTCTTTTTTTTCAATTCTATTAGGTATTTCAAGAGATGCTGTTCAATAAATTCGGAAGCATTTCCTTCGAAGAATTTACACGCTTCACATCGAGAATTCCAGAATTTTCGTCAACATTTCAATTCAATATTTAATTACGCTTATATTACGGTAATTATTTCCGCAATTTTGATGTGCATATTAAAGCAAACATATAACTTTGTGCTCAAAATTCATATGCATGCTTGTTATATAATTGAGTAAGAATTATGTTATAATTAATTTTCTCAAAAAGATATTTTAACAAAGTCCATTTAAATGGAATTATTGTCCATTTCAGAAGAAAAGAAGTATACATAAATATGCAATCACATAATGTATTACTAGTTACATTACGCTTTACCAATGAAAAATGTTATTATTCGTGGTAATACAAATTTATAGCACTTCCGGGTTACGCTTTTAAATATGTATAACTATCGATTTTATAATATTAACGATGTAATTAATATTATCATTATTAAAGAACATACATGGAAGATTTCAATACTGTAAACAAAAATTACACTATGTTTATAAGTCGGTATGTACATTTATTGTTATTTATTTGACAAGATAAGTCCTCCTCCTAGGAGCATAGATAGAATAAAACTAATATTAATTATAATTAGATTGATAAAAAATAAATGTCATAATTCAAGAATTATTATGTTAATTATTAATTTCACAATTGTTTACAACTCAAGATTATTCTATCATTTCTTTTTTAGAAAATATTATGTTCCTACATACTAAGAAGATCAATAGTTTTAATTAATTAAGTTTTCCACTTTTAAAAATCAGTGAACTACTATAAATTATAAAATAATAATTATCACATTTATATTTGAACTTAATATATGCAGTGATATGTTATGTAACTAACAGTTATGTTGTATTATTTTTCATACTTCAATTTTTCATAAAAAGAATGAAAAACAATAGACAATTAATATTATAATTGTGTGATAAATAATACCATGTTAAAAACAAGAATTTATTTTCTATCAATTTAATAATAATATGGCAGAAATGTATTATTATTAATAATATATAATATATAATATTAACAATATATAATGTATATTCTATTATGAAATTTTACGTAGTAGAAATGTCAAATACAAAATAAAACTTTTCTATTAATTATTCTTATTTTAAACTAATTGTTACGTTATTTTATAATTCTTTAATTTCATTAAATCAATTCATCGACTAATAATTATTTATTTATAGTTTTCCTATATACAGCATGGAAAGAAAAGTTTATACCAGGCTATCATAGATGAATTTTATACCTTCGATTTGATAGATACATATGTAGGAAATGTAGTGAAACATAACAAATTTCTGTGGGAAAAAAACGAATGGTTTATTTAATGAAATAATGTGTGATACAATGAGGTAGTCACGCAGCAAGGACTGGAGAAGAACTGAACTTTCTGCTCGGCATGGTTCCGTCCGTGACTAAGAAAAATAGTAGGAAGAAGACAGAAAACAGATGGCAACCGTTGCCCCTCACAAAGTCATTTGCAATGGGCTTACACTGCTGGATGATCAAGTCGTTGTATTTCAACAACATACGTACATATAAAGAATCTGCCGCAAAATTGACCTTTGAATTTCAAATTGACCTTTGGAAGATTAAAATATTTTTTAGTTGTATTGTATTCTACTCTCCGCGAAGGTGAAACTTTTCAGAGGAACCATAGATCACAACTTAATAATTCTCCTGAAAAAATTTTTTAATCATTTATAATTTTAATCATTGCGAACGCGTGCTTACTAACAGCGATTTTATGGTGCAGATTGTGTAATATTTATATTTCGAGTTAGTTTTATCATTTGATTATGGTTCGCTTTATGTCAAGTGCAGCAGATTCATTTATATTTTCACCTATTTCATTTACGTTTGAAATGTAATATTTCAGTTGATGAGAGTTGCTTTTCAAATAAATTACGGCTTCCATAATAAGTAGAATGATAGGATATGGATCAATAAATAACATATCATTAAATGACATATCGGCACACGGAATCAAAACTTCGAGTAGCTGTGAACCACCACACGTCCGAAACAATAAAATCGTTTATTGTTAGGCAACTCTCAACAAACATCTACAGTGTGAAATGATTAAAAAACTTTTTTGCCATTTTTCAAGAGAATCATGTTGCGACCTATGGTTTCTTGAAAATAGTTTTATCTTCGTGGTAAACGGAATATAATACAACAAAAAAAAATTTTGACCTTGAAATTCAAGGTCAATTTGCAGTAGGTTTTTTACATGTATCTTCATCAAATCGGAGATGTAGAATTCATCCATGATAACCTGGTACAAACTATTCTTTTCATCCTGTACATATGTAATGCGTCAACATAAAATTTATTTATTTAATAATATACATCCGTATTTATTTATGGTTGCATTTGATGGTAAAAAGTTTGTGAAAAATGTATCTTCTATGTGATGTAAAAACATTTTAGTCTAAAATGAGCGATACTTTTTGAAAATAAAGTTCTAAAATGAGTCCAAATCTATTATTGTACGATTGTTTTATTTTTGTTTACAAAATGATAATAGCTTCAAAATTTAGTATCTGAATATATTAATAGGAGTCATTGTATATAAATGTTAATGGACATGAGAAGTTATCGTTTATAAGCAATGCAGCTAGATTTATTATATATACCAGAAAGAGAAAAATCTGGAATGTATGGTGTTTGTTTCCTTCTTTCATACGTCAATGGCAAAACTATGGGAATTTTATGTTTAATATAACTTGTTGGATATTTCAAGACATATGATTCCGTCATTCCTGGTGCATTTTGATACATGTAAGAATCGGGCTTAAAAAAAGCTAAAGGATGAAAACTGCCAGTTCGATCTTTATATTGACTACGTTGAATTTGCACTGTCTGTAAAAGAATAATAATAATTATTAGATAAAATCTTTGACTGTCTAAAATTAAATTAATGTTTCACTTATGGGCCCATTAAAATATTTGAAAATCTTGATGTAAAAACCGCTTCCCAAAATTGTATTTATTGAGGTTTTATACATTCCTATAGACTGTCGAATGAATATTATAAAAATAGTAGACTGTCGAATGAATATTATAAAAATTGAACAAATTCAATGCGTTTACAATAAGTTTTGGACATTGTGATCTTTGTACCGTGACAATCGAATTTACTCTAAAATCTAGTGTTGTTTCACTATTACCTGCTCTAAAAAAACTTAGGTATATCCTTTACAAATAATAACTGAAAAATTAATAATTTAATCATCTATTGAAAAAGTACATATGTCGCAAATCATTATCTAATACTAGATATAAAATATAACTATTCAGAAAAGCAGAAATTATTGAAGAAACGAATACAAGAAAAAGAAATTATTGATAATGAAACTTACAAACTAGATTCTTCATTTCTGTAGTTATAGTTTTTAATAAAGATTTAATTTTGCAAGTCTAAATATCAAAAACATTCCTAACTACATTTTTCAAAAATGTAAGGAGTATTATTTTTTATCTATATCTTTTTATTTGTACTAACTCCAAATATGCGATTGTTTACATAAACTGTATATAATTTAGTTCTATTATTAAAGTTTCTAAATTTATTTTTTACTTATATTATTTATTTATTTTATTATTAACTTGTTAATTTATTTATTTTATTTAATATTTCATTTATTTTAAAGTTTAAAGTTTAAATCTATTATAAAGTTTCTAACTGATATTTCAATTATTAAACGTATGTAATATATTACTCGGAGAATAAACAATTTCTTTTCAAAGAAAAAAACTGACATGAAATCTCATGAATGAAAAGCATGTACAATAGATAGTAATAATCAATAGAAGTAACAAATGATAATATGAAGGAAGCTAATAAAAAAAAAATGTGAAGCTATTTGTATTTGATTATGTATATAAGTATATTGTGAATAAAAACAATTTAAGAAGTATTACAGAATTATTATTTGATATTATCAAATTATTATATGCTAATCATCAATCAGTTCATCAATTTTTGGACGAAATATTTATTATTATGGATAGGATGCAGACTAATGCAGACTCCTCTCACACGTTTCTCGTTCATGATTTGACGCCAGCGAATTTTTTTTTTTGAGAATAGTTCTAATGTATGTATGTATTTTAATGTATACGAAGTATATCTATTGAATAATTAAAAGTTAAATTGATAACATGGATAATTTTAATTGTGATAACATAATTCTTAATTTTTCATAACAATCTAACTTTAGTTTGACCAAAAATCAAGATGCGCTGTTTTACTCACTAAAGCACTTTTCTAATTCTATCACACTTTTCCTCTCAAACATTATTTTAAATCGTAATAAAATTTCTTAAACATTATCCAAAATTCAAAGAGCATAAATGACAGTGGATCAAAAAAGTATTAATATATCCTTTCTGTTTTTTTAAATAACATTAAAGTAATGTATCAATATAAAGTATCAATTTTATTCCTCAGTGTAGTCTTCTATCTCTAAAAATATGTATTCATTTAGAACATTCATTGATGATATAGTCTAAAGAAATCATAGAAGAATAATAAATACACATATGATTTAATTAAAAAATACGTTATTATTTTGTTATTCATTACATACAAATGAAATGTTTAATATTTTATAAGTATGTTTTTCAGCAATAATTATCGTTTGTAATCGATTTATATTATACGAAGAACAGTATTGTTTGCAATAATATTTTATATATATATATATATATAGTTTTTTTTTATTCACCATAATAGTTAATATTAGAAATTTTCAGTCATTGTAATTTATTTAAGCTCTTCATTATGATTCAAACTTATATTAATCTTTGTAATATAACTAACATTAATCATTATGACTTCTTGTTATATAGTTCTACAGTTTATGTCCTTTCGAATAATTCCTCTCCAAATCGTATACATAACATCAAACGCGTAATTATCTCGAAACCCGATCAACTCGTGATTATTTGCGCTGTCTGATCACGTTGGTATACTAATGTAGATACGGAGTATCAAGAAACGTTACGTATTACTATCATATTGATGTTACAATATTGATAACATTCATAAATGTTAATTCTGATAATTCAATATGGTTGTTTAGTATTTAACATTGATAATGTCTAATGATTAATGATTGTCATCATCATTAGCATTTCTTGCTAATACCTTAATATTCTAGGAAGGAAATGATATGATGTTCTATAAAAACGTTATAACGTATTATACTTGTATCATACATTCTTTCTCAAAATTGTAAGTTCACCCACATTGATACAGCAGCAGATAAAAATTTAAGATAATTACTTTCTTGATAGATTATTATATTATAAACAATTAAAGGAACAAGAAAAAGTTAACCCACAGTATTAACGTTCTGAGACATTAAAACTTTTATCAAAAATTGTGTTTTATTAGGAATTCTATAATTATGATTATTTCTCATCTTAACTTTGAACATAGAAATAATATATGTAGAAAAATGTTTGTTTCTCATTTCTTGTTTAAATATGAAGATGTAAATATAAACATTGGATTAAAAAATATTACAAATGTTATTCTCGTTACAAAATACTTTATTTAGAAGTATTTTATTTGATATAAATAATCTATTTTATTTATATCAAAGTATATAAAGAAATTCTGAAAATTCTATACAATGATTATAAATAACAAATACTCTTATTTTAATAGTCGATAGAAATTCATCTTAAATTTTGTTCATGTATAGCTTTTTTTTCATCATTATCTTCTGATCTACATTTGAGTTTCTTATGAAAATCACAGAATACAATGATTGCTATCGTTAAATAAAAATAATATAGCTTAGCTTTTTCTTGCATGGAAATTATAATGCATAAAAAAGATAAACATTTATATACATAGTTACAATATACACAAAATATTTTGCTCATTATAAAAAAACAAATAGACATCAAGAGATGTCAGAATTAATAAATATATTATTTTTCAATATTTTGTGATAGCTCTATCTAACACCGGACTTCTTAATTTAGTATTTATTTTACAATCACATACACGCTCATACTACATTATAACTAATATTACATTATGTATGTATTCAGTACATAGTAAATAATATATGGTAACTATTTTTACAAAATAAATTTCAGCTATCGCGATTAAGATTTATTTCCATTTTGATAATTGACAAAAGAATCCTTGAAAAAAATTTTATTCCGATTCTTTTCTAAAGCTTACTTATTTTCCCCATACATTAGTTTCTTGTTTTTTTTTCCTTACTTTTTACTTCCAAGGATTTCTTTTCGTTCTCACGCAGTCTTAGAAATACACATGCGTCATCTAGGTTCAACGAACAGATTTTGTTTCCTTTCAGATTTAACTTTCCTGGTACTTTCTTTGCCTCTATGTTTGTCTATATTTAGTTTCATCCTCTTTGCCTAAATCCTATTTAAACTTAACAATTCCTGGACTCAGTTTTTCCATTTTCGTTGGAGACTATATGTGGGATTGACAACACTATTGATCTTTTTATCATACAAAATAAATCGAAATACAAGTCAAAAGTCGTAGTGGAAGAGAGGATACGAATGATAAAGACAGAAATTTTACAACAAAGTTATAATTAGAAGGTTCAAAAGCCATTTAATGTAAGTTGGTTTTATTAGTTTAATTTATTATTAATTTGTTTATTATTATTCATTATTAGTTTAAAAACAACTCGTTGTATCAACATTTTTTTCTTACTGAAATCATCAATTAACAAGATAGTTTAATCATTAATCATTACAATATGATCGTTATAACATAATCATAACTGGATTGCGGATTTATTATTAGTTTGTTTATTATTATTTATTATTAATTTAAAAACAATTCGTTGTATCAACATTTTTTTCTTACTGAAATCATCAATTAAGAAGATAGTTTAATCATTACAATATGATCGTTATAACATAATATTATATCATAACTGGATTGCGGATTTTTATGTAGATTTATATTTTAAGAATATAATTTAAAAAAAAAGTTCGATGAAAAATTGTATATTATGAAAAGCACGATACTTCAGATATTTTAAGTATATACGGGAGGATAGAGCAATATAAATTTTGTTTCGCACATGAGTCTAAAAATCTAAAAAGAATTTTAGAAGGCACTTAACATTAAGGGAGTATTCTAGTGTGAACTTTTGAAAAAAATCGATTTTTTTTTTTTTGCATATTCTTAAAGGACATAGTTTCAAAAGTAACCTTACATGTGAAGTCTTAAAATTAACGAAATTATGGTTGTTTGAAGGACGCGACGAACAGCGTCATTGTTACTGCAATACTAAACTTTAAAGTATTTTTCTTGAAACTATGTTTTTCAGAACGGTGTCCATGATATCTCAAAATCTACTTGACTAATTGACTGAAAATTTTAAGTACGTATTTAATACGTGTGACTATAGCTCCTACTAAAATCAACCAAAAAAAATTATTTTTTATATTTTTTCCGAAGTTTAACAAAAATATGCAAAAATCGATAATCGAACTTCAAAGTGTCGGCACTTTTTTAATTACCGACTTTTTCCTTTTGTTTTGGTACATTTGCTATAGCCAAACTCATACTAATTAAGGAACATTCACGTTTTTCTATTTCCGACAAGCAGAACGGCCGGAATCATGGACACCGTGAGACGACCTTTTTTAAAAGCGACTATGTTTGAGAGTATGCAGTGTCACTAATTTTAACTTTTTTGTCCTAAAAAATTTTAAAACGTCGTTAAAATACGTGCAAATAAATGTCAATTTTACTGCAAAAGATATAATAGTTTCTTTACAAAAAAATTCCCTAACAAAGTTAAAGAAATACGCACTTCACACTAGAATACTCCTTTAATACGCGCGTACTGAAATTCATTGATGCCATTTATAGTTTTTACAAGTTACAACTGAACTCTCCGAAAACTTCACTAAAATATTGCAATTTTTAATATTTTCTTAGTTTTGGTAACATAATTACTTTACTGCTTGTAAATTGAAAGTTAAGAACTTTCTACTTGAGTTTGAGGGTATTAGCAGAACTTTTATTTAAACTTTTTTTTTTTATTTCTCTTTACGAGATAAGAATAAGAAAAATCATATTTCTCATTATTTCAAAAAAATTTTTCGAGGGTAATAAGAAACATTACTTTCTATTTCTTGCAAATTAATTTAAATACTTTATAATAATAGACGAAATTCTATTTCGAAAAAAAATAAATTTATGATACCTCGTAGCAAATATTGAATGAAGGACATTTGTTTTTGGAAAGAATTTTGCTTACTTTTCTTGTAGATATTACAATCACTAACTTTTCAATCATCCAGTCATCTGTAGATATACGTGAACAGCTATATGTAAAAACGCAAATTACACCGTCAATTTACAAACAGGATATTTTTCTCAGATCTATGAATAATTTTTCTTTTTTCAGAATAAGTTCTTTTTATCAATAAATATGTTTTTGATCTATTTGATTCTTATTATATTTTTAAAAATCATTTTTGTAAATGAACAATCAATTAGTTTCGAAGAAAGAAATTTGTGTTTAAAATTTTTTATATTGACTTTCACTAACTTCATTTTCATTACTCTCTAAAAAAGAGACTAACTAATAATAAAAATGTAATAAAAATTAGGATAAAAGTATACACTTCAATAATATTTCGTATAATTTCAAGAATTTTTACTAGTAACAAGGAAGAACTGGAAAGTTATCTATTTCCTCTGTGATTTAATTGAAACGATGTAATATCTTTTCCCCATAAACATTGTTTATCAAGAAAAAAAATTAGAATTTCAGACATCTGCTACTTTCTTTTTATGTTCTTTCATGTTCCTAATTACGTTATATTCCATGCAATTTTTAACCTTTAAATTTCGTACAAATAATTCATAAAAATTCGCAATCTAATTATGACTATTTTAACAAAAAAATATATTTGTAGAATCATTTTGTACTAATTGTAAGTTTCATCATCGAAATACATATGATACATCAATAAATAACTTCTAAGTTAAATAACTTCAAGTTTCTATGGTATGAACGATAATTCATAAGTAATGAAGAAAATCAATGTACTCCTATTATAGGGTGATTCTCGCAATTGTAACAAGTAATACCTCTAGAATGATAGGAAATATAAAAAAGAAGACAATTGATTAATATAAGACAATCTATTTTTATTTTTTCTTTTGTTTTTTAATGCATGTAATGATAGAAATGCATGTAACGATAGAAAAATACAGAAAATATAGATTGAACGTTTTTAAAAGTGTCTAAAAACTAGAAAAAAATACAGATATAACTTTTTTAAAAACGGAACCACACATTTTTTATTATTAATAAGTATTATTGGTAAAAGAGGATTTACTTTTTTTTAAGTTTATTATTTATTTTTTTTTTTTGTAAATGCAACGATGCATTTAAAAAATACAGATGAAATTTTTTCTTAAATAGGATTATTTTCTTTTTTATACATTAATTGGCGAAATTCAATAAAAAAAAGTAATTAATGTATAAAAAAAATAAATAAATTAATGTATAAAAAAATGTATGATTCCAATTTTAAAAAATGTTGCATTTACATTTTTTAGGTGCATTGCTGCATTCATAAAATAACTACGTATGCAAAAAAATAGATCCTCTTATAACAATTTTCTTTACATCTTTTTTGTATCTCTTACCATTTCTAAGATATAACCTATTGCAGTTGCGAGAATTATCCTGTGTGAAACTTAGATTATACACATAAATTATAAACATAAATTACCTATTTTCTATCATTTATTTTATTTCACTTTCATACAAATGAAACGATACCTTGCCTTATACGAATATATTAGTTTACCACAGTTTCAAATCACTGCATTTGAATAGAAAAGAAAAATACATTGAGCAAAATATTATAAAGGATATTAGAGAAAAATATTAGAAGAAAGTTCATTAAAATTGCAAAATTATTTCTTGAAGAAACTAAAATGCAAATAAATAGTAAAATTAATTACTTTAAATAGGCCATCAACTTCCTTCATGCGTATGGGATCAATTGTTGAAATATCATTTGAAAGTACGGTTAACTCACGATTAATTTTACGCTTCATTGTATCAGCGACGATGTCAGGTCTTGGACTATATGAAATTTTTTGTATTCCCCACTCATATGGTAGCATCTATAAACAATATACAGGATGTCCTACAACTAGTAATACAACCGAGCAAGAAATGATTCTACATGAAAAAATGAATTGAAGAGGAAGAATAAAATCTTTTTGTTAAAGCTGTTTTTGAAAAAAATCGAGTTTGAAATTGGATAATTTCGTGTTGAACAGACATGAATAATAAACATGGAAATATTTTATATAATGAAAAATATAGAATAAAATTTTTTTGTAGTGCTCTATTTTCGAAAAAATCGTGTTTGAAAAATAATTCAACCTAATTCATTTCACTGAATACCCAGATATAACTTTCAATTTTAACAAAATTATCTTCCCAAAGTTATATAATTTCGTAAAATTTTGTATTTTTATTTTTGATAAACACTTTTTGATATATTGAGAAAATTTTTTGATATTATATAAAAGTCTTTTTCGGTTCTAATATTATGTATATAAAAGTTGGTTTTCAAATTGTGAAGTGTACAACACAAGAATCCACATTCAATGAGCTCGAACATAACATGTATCTTGTTCATAAAAATTTTAGAATAAAGATAATTGTATTATTAAAATTGTTAGTGCTACAAAATGACATAATGTAACTAAACATTCGCAAATAGATCACAAGCTGTTAATAAATTACGTACACTAATCACAAATAAGAGTAATATGTTTACTGTGTTCACAAACATCTAGCGAATAAAATGTAAGCTATTATAAATCTTTTGAACATAAATAGGCTTTTTAATGAATCGCTTGCTGAGCAAACAGTGTTCGTTGATGATATTCTATATATAATAATTTATTGTATATAAAGAGTTATTAAGATCTATTATATTTTATGAAGAAAATATAATAGATCTTAAACATACGTTAAAATAGTTTCTATGAATTCATTCAAAAGTTACATTGATCTCAAGAACTAGTAACCAGATTTGATTAGTAAATATTTAGGTTTATGTTAAATAAAGGAGATTTATATAAAAATTTTTATCTAATGAATAATTCTCCAATGATTTTCAAACATTTATAATGATTTAGTGAAATTTCCTTCGTTCTTGACAAACGATATGATAGATTTTCTGCAGAAAATTTTACTTCATTTGAGATAGATTATTCTTTTCCTCTTTTACAGATATTAATACATATAATTTATATGAATTTGGCACAAATTTTTATTACATTTTCTTATTTACATTTGACATTTTCCTTATTTGCGTTTTTAATTTAACTACTTCTTTATATATTGAGATATGTATTTTTCATTTTATAATCTAGTATCAATCAATTGATAAAAATTAATCTATTAAATGCTGAAATTTTCCTACACGTAGCTAACTACAATTACATATTTTCTATTTCCATTTCCATCCATCTAATCCAAAAATATTAAATCAACAAAGAAAAACATTCATTTTGTATTTTTGTATCTCCTTTTGAAATAAATTCATTAATAAAATTTAATTTTGTTTTCTATTACCTTCATTTATGTATAAGACATCCCACTTATCTTTATTATTTAAAATATTTAAATTTTATTAAAATATTTAAATTTTATTAAAATATTTCTTGTAAAAATCGCATAGTTCTACAAAGACCAACCCGTGGCAATTACAAATATTTTTTATCACGAAAAATAAAATAAAAAGATCAATTCGTTTAAAATGAAATACTACATTTCGTTCTGTATGATAGTCAAAAGAAAAGGAATTCAGTAACCTACATTACTAACAAGAAATATTATCCAAATATAACATATCGATTTTGATAAAATTTTGATAAAATTTATACTGCATAACTAAAAATATTCCATGTTTTTTTTATCTATACCTTATTCAAAGAATCAAAACAGTGGAGGTTGGAAATCGTTAACATATTTTCTAAAATATATATGTATCTCGAATATAATTGCAAATGGAAGATTTGTTTTTCAATTGTATCAATTTAAATGGCAAATATAACTAATAAATAAATTTTTAGGAATTCCATTTGTAAAGAATATATTAAAAATTTATTGATTAATTTTTCTCTAAACATATTAAAATTTTCGTGTAATACTTTCTTAAATTTTACAGTTTAAAATGTTGCAGTTTTAAAATATCCTTCGGAATAAAAACATATTTTTCTTCCTATTGTCATAAGAATTATTTTTAAAAAATTATTATTTCAGATAAATATTTGTCGCTACTTCTACAACATTTATTAAACTAGAGATAGTAATTCAGAGACGTGTTAAATCTAACACTTATTGATCCATTAATGTAACTAACAATACCAATTCAATAATTCAAAAATTATATAACGTATTTCTTATTATCGTAGTATTTGAGGCGACCGCATCGATGTAATTATTTTTAATGACAACACTTTTCGAAAACGAATTTGACATAACTATAGAAACATAAATATATATAAGTTCATCTTTTTGATTAAAATATATCATAGTGATGCAATTTTTAGTAATAAGATCCTTCGTTTCTATTGATAATTATACTACCCTAAGCCAATAAAGATTTAAATTTAATTATTACATATTACATATATTAAAATATATATATATAATGAATTATCCATTTCAGTTTAGTAGTTTGGATTATCTTCATTTAACTTTTAACGACGTAATAAAATATACAACCAAAATTTATGTTTTTGAATTACATAATATTTTTTGTAATCTGAAAATATACAAATTCATGTAACTAAAGCTCCTAAATATCTTTTCGAATTGTTATGATGCAAAAAGTATTTATTACCTTACATAAATGGTATTGAAAGAACAATCACTGGTAAAAGTATTTTTTTCTAAGGTCATTCTTTTCAGAGTTTCCAAGGTCATTGATATATTTTTTCATACAACTATTTTTTTATTATATCGCATAGCTGGTGAAAAATATATTTAAACATGTAAAATTTTAAATTTTAAATTTACGTTTTACGTATAAATTTCTTTATTGTGATCACAGAGCTTGGCTAACAATAAGACGCGACAATCGAAAGCCTAATAATAAATAAACATATTTACTATTTATTACATCGTCAATGATAATCTTTTCTAGCAGTTTGAAATCCCGATCAGTGTATCGAAATTTGTCAGTAATTCATAATGGAATACTCAACGCAAGAATAGACATAATATTCATTTATGGTAAAAGTGACTAGTGTTACTATTACTTATTATTATATAAGATATAATATTCATTTATGGTAAAAGTGACTAGTGTTACTATTACTTATTATAACTAGTGTTACTATTACTTATTATTATATATTAATATATTTCCTAATCGTAATTATCCATCACGAAATACATAGGTAGTCAAACATTCAACAAACGGTAGTGTCATAAAAAATATCTAAGGAACAAAGAAAATGAAGGATACATTGTAGCTAAAGTTAATAAAAGTCCACGTGTGAAAATCTAAGAGAATTTGAGTGAGAGAATTTCTGAAACTAGCGTAATACGGATAGTAAAAAAACATGATGTCAACCGTATCATTTGTCTCTACGTCAAGATCTTCACAGAATAAATTTTATAAATCGTATGCATCTTTCTCAATGGAATTTGTAGCAATACAAATAATCAATCATTCCTTAAACGAAAAACTTAAATTTTTGAACATCAATGTCATTTCACTATTCTTTCTTTAGTTCTTTCGTTTGGTTCTTTACATATCTGAATGTATTTTTTTTTTATCAGCTACATGATATAATTAAAAAATTACATATAATTATATGAAAAAAAACATCGGTAATCTTGAAAACTCCAAAAAAGTGGCCCTGAAAGAAATATTCTCATGAGTTAATGACCTTTCGATACCATTCATGTTAGATAAGAAATATTTTTTACATCATCAAAATTCAAAAAGAAATTTAGATGGCCTCACTTAAATGGACTATCTAAATATGCAATTAACCACCCTGTATATGAAATTAATAGTTTCATTCATATCACTATTTCCAGAATGATTTCTAAATTTATAATTTCTTATGTTCTTCAATTCAAAAATTTTCAAAATAATTGATGGATGATTGAATATGATTTAGATTATGCAATTTTTCTTGTAGTTCATTTTGTTCTCTTTCATTGTAATTGAGGTCATTGAATTATTTATCATTTTAAGCTTTTTTTATTGGACATTATTTGTAGCGTGCCGATTTGATCGGTAGCTTGCTGCCTTCAACGTTAATGGCAGCTGTTCAAAGTTAAAGGTTTGATTAATTGAGTTTGATTAGATTTTAGTTCACTATTCAAGAGTGAAGGTTGAACGAAATTAAGTTAGATTAAATTTTAATTCATTCCATAAGAATAAGGTTTGAGTTGAATGATTTGAATGATCTAACGAACGTGAACTAAGTAAGTAAGTAGATGAACGTGAAAATACGTTGTTGAACTGAGCACTGAGAGTTGTTCTATACTGTTTCGACCTTATATAAGTCCAACTTTATTATGTCCTCTCCGATCACATGATTGGGGAGGCATTTGTTTTAGGTTAAGAATCAGCGTCAGACAAAGTCTGTCCCATAAAGTAATATTCACAATTACATTATGGGCCTAACGGTACTGCTTAGAGATGCGTCCCTCACATTATGTTTCATATGTTTATTGGTCTTAAAAAAGCTATGTCTGTAGAGCCAAGGCCGGAGAGACATGTTCCCTACGTCCACCCTTGGCTTGAATTTTATTCTTATTTTGGGGATTGTTGCGACAAAAACACTAACCGAACCTTGGAATTGGTAGTCAGGTATGACTACAATAATAATTATAGAAAGAATATGAAAATACGTCATGGGAAATCCCTGCTGTAGAGAAAATGATAAATTTGAAAGTTATTATCCCTGGCTCGATGAATTTATTTTTCGCACCACAGTTTATGGCCCCTATTTCGGTAAGAAAAATTATTTATAGACCGAACATTATTTTTACAAATTTATTTATTTTCAAACTTGAATTTTTGATTTTATGTAAATTGAAACTAACAACGGTATATCAATCTGTGGAACCGGCGCGCAATTGAAGATTGGAAGCCGTTTAATAACTCTGTAATAATAACTATGGAAAAGATTGATTCGAATGAATGCTACATGGTTTGAAGGAAGCCACACAGTACAAGCACAGTATTTGTTTCTCCTATAAAACGTATTTCTTAACATTTCATAATAGAAATTGAAAATAATATTAAAACAAATTCAATGTACTAAAATCATCGTTAAATGACTTCTAAAATTAAAATTAGTAATATTATTATTATAATTAAATTTAATGTAAAATACTTTAAATTTTAAATTATTTTTCATGAACAAATATTAAATAATATTTTTCTTAAACAACAATCTACTTACGAGTAGATACTTAGATACTTACTTAGATCGCAGATAGAAAATTGAAAAAATAATTGGCATAATATGTAAAGCACTTAATACAGTGAACAGATTGTTGTTGAATAAAAAGTTTGAATAAAATATTTCTTGACATTATTGTATAGTTCTATCATAAATAAAGTCATACTTAAAATCTAAATCAAAAAGAAAGTGAAAGTGGACTAAACTATGTGATATAAATCTTATAACTATAGAAATTTAATTAAGAAATTAGGAAATTTAATTAAGAAATATTCGATTTTCATTTTCTGCCAGAAATTTACAAATCTAAGAGTTTATTAAATGGAAAATATACAACTTACTAAATGGCGCATAACACTGTTTATTTTCATCTGATATATATATATATATATATATATATATATAAGATTGTATTTATATTTATATATAGAAAACTAAATTTAATAAAACAATTAATTTAATTAATCTAAAAATATAATATACATTTGAATATTAATTATTAATTACAATTATAAATAAAATATGATATTGCTAACTAGATCTCATGTTAAAAACTGAATATTGCATTTTCACTTTAAGTATTTACAATTTATTTTCTTATACTTATTTATAACTTCATTTATCTTATGTTTACTTGCTTTACATATTTTGAACATTCGAATATGTTTTTGAAAATTTAAAATAGTTATACATGTAATACTTTTCAAGAAATGAATTTAGAATAATTGAAAATTTATATGTGTTTATATAAGATTAGTAGTATTATAATATTATTATTATTATATTAGAACTATCAAAGTTCATAATTTTTCAGAGAAATTTTACAGATTTACACATATAAAATATATAAATATAAGCTCATGTTCTTTATTGCATTATAAACTTTTTCTTATTTCTGGCATTCTTCTAATTTCTCTGATATAAATTTTATACTTTGAGCGTCGGTAATTCTAGTGTTAAAATTCTACTTTCAAAAATTTTATTACATATATTATATATTAATATTTTCGAATATTTTTCTTCTAACATTACCATTATCATTATTTATATTCATTCAACATATAAAAAAGACATTCATTAAACATATAAAAAAATTGTAATAAAAAATTAAAAATTTATTCATATTATCAGATATGTAGTTAATAATCTAGAGAGAATAAAAGATCATACACGAAGAAAAAATTTTGTACTTTACAAATTAATTAATGAAAAATTTCTCCATATCATAGGTTTTAATTAATTGTATTGAAGAGCTTACCGAGAATTTTGATAGCGTTTCGTTCCTGTAATTCTGAAAATAACCAATACTTCCACTATCGTACAAGGAGAGATCCAATTTTGTTGGAGGATAACAATCCATAAAGGGTGGCATTAACGTAGGTGGATAAAACGTAGCCTGAATTTCCGACATTTTCATGTTACCTACTGCCATCATGAAACGTTTACCGTTTACTGTAATTGAAGGAAAATCTTATACTTTACACTTTATCACATGTTTTTTAAAAAGGTTATTGGTCGAATTAAGTTTGTCATAAACAAATGAATGAATATTTCGATTTTATCTTATATTCATGTACATTACAAAACTAATCACAAAATATAATTAATCATTGATTAAATATGTATAAATAATTAATTTATGAATCATATAAATATATTTGGTCAAGCTATTTTTTTGTTAACAAATGTAATATACGTATATAAGTGACTCTATAGAATTACTTCAGTTCAACACATAATAAAATTGAAATTTCATATTCAATTATGAAAATTATTTAAATTTTAATAAATATGTTTGATCATTGACTAATAGAATAGACCAGATAGCAAATGCTTTTTCGTGTCCCACGTTTTGAAGATCATCTGACCCTCTTACCATTTCTTTGTTACATAGTCAAATATTGCCGGCAGAGACCAGGTCACAAACGAAGTATGAATAGACATTGCATTTTACGAACTTTCATGGCCCGTAATCTGAAATATCGACATACTAAAAAATCATGACACTGGTTTTAGCGCACTCTACTTTTAAACAATGGTGAATTGGGGAACTAGTGAATCCGCCAACAACATGATTTTTAGACCCATTACGGTGTTGTCAAACATTCAATACCGAAATGTGAAGTTATTAACTAATCGAAATCATACTATTGTATATCAGAAAAAGCTCTATCCACGTTTTACGGATCAACTTTTTTCAATATATAGTAAATTAAAATTTTAAAATTATTAATACATGATTTTATAAATGAATTATATTGTATTAAACATGCTTAAAAATAATTTTTAACTAACTGAATTTTCAACTATTTCAAATTATTATTAATATTAAAATATTAAAATTATTATATATCTTCATTTACATATTCCTTACATTACATATTCAAATTTGCATTAAATTTTTAACAATATTATATAAATATAAATATAAATTTATTATAATTATGCAATGCATATATGAAAAATAACATAAATTCATTAATAACATAAATTCATATATGACAAATAACAATTTATTAATTAAAAATTTATTAATTAAAAACTGCATTTATTATATATCCTTATGTACTTTAAATTTTTAACAATTTTATTATAACTATGCAATGCAATGATTATGACAAATAACATAAATTCATTAATTAAAAATTACTACTTTATTTGTCAATATTGTGATAATAACAAAACTTTGTTATTTATTTAATATAAATCTTTAATAATTCATGAAGATTTAATGAAAAATACAAACATCTAAGGAATATATCCTTATATATCTCACAAAATCGACCAATGTTGGATATGTTTACAAATTTAGGGATTATTATTGATGTAAATTATATGTATTTCTGCAAATCAAAGGATAGAAGGAAAACTTACATTTCACAATTTCACAGAACTTTATTAGAACAAAATAGATTTTTCAAGCGGTAGCTTCTTTATTTAAAAATACACATATCTTTCTCTAATTTGTACTTTGGTCCTTGATCGAATCTGAAGACGGCATGACGAATTCTTAACAAAATATTTAAAGGGACATAGGTTTCAGATTTCCTATTCAAAGCATACTTGCTGAAGTGCATTCTAAGAGGATTTTATGCTATTCTATTCATCAGGAAACGAAAATATAAAAAACATATATAACGTCAGGAAACGAAAATATAAAAAACATATATAATATATAATATTTTAAATTTAAAATCAGGAAAAGGATTTTTAATAAACAATTAATTTCTTTTATTATTGTTACAATTTATTCTTTTATTGTTTCCAATTTCTTTTATTATTATTTTTAACAAAATTTCTTGTTACTTGAAATATATATTTATTCATTTTTTATAAAACAGTATAACAAATAAATAAATAATACAAATTTTCTTATTTTTAAAATGTTTTCTTTTTTTTTTAATTTATGATTAACGACGGCTAGGTACTGTTTCCTTCTTTTCTAGATGATTATATCTTATGGTAGATGTTAATTTCCTTTAGATAGTTCAGGACATTTCCTATGTGTTTCTGTGACGTCAGGGCTGCTGGTGATGTTATTTTGTATTTTTGCCTTTGATATTTTGGTACTTGCTGCATTCAAATAGCAGATGATGGGTTGATATTATTCAGTTGCATTGGTTACACATTGGGAGTTCTGTTTTTTTTTTTTTTTTAATAGGTACTTATGTGTGAGTTTGCAATGTCCTGTTNCTTGGCATGATTATTCTGTCTTTTCTTTTCATGTTGTTAGGCATTGTTTGATAGAAATCTTGAGTTATTTCATGTGTTTTTGTTTTTTTTTGAAGGTGTTCCATATTTTGTTCCATGATTGTTTTTCAGCATGGTGTAATATTACAAGGTCCTGATAAGGAATTCGGATGACATCCGACGAGGGTGTAACGCAGACCACTTGAGTCCGGCTGGCGCCTGGAGGTATGGGGCTCACGAAGTGTCACCCGACATCGTTCTGGGAAATCCCCTTCTACCACACTTTACCGAAAAACTGTATGGAAAACGTAATAAAGTTTTCAGTTTAGTTTTGTCCTTCATTTGGTTCACATCTTTTTATTTACGTCCTACACTCGTTCCTTTTCTACGGATAGGAATAAGGGTTGAAGTGACATCCGGATAAAATAATTCGAGGTGTCTTTTTCTTTGTTTTTTGGAAATTTAATGCAAGTTTAAACGGTGTTCTCTTCAGTGCGGTTCCTGCTCCACGGACGGGAATCATTTTATCGCTGTTTTTTCTTTCCTCCCATTTCGACACTGTCACACCGTGACAAGGGCGATGTTGCTTCTTTGGCTGCTATGTCGGCTAACTCCTTACCTTTGATTCCCTGGTGGGATGGGACCCAAGTATGGGAATAAAAATATGCTGAGAATGGTTTCATGTTTTGTTTTACTATTTATGTTTTCTTCTTCCTTTTGATTGTTTATCAAATATTTGAAAACAATTCAATTTTTATTAATTAAAAAATAACTCACTTTCCGCTGTAATCATTGATAAAGCAAAATTTTCATGAATAATGTCTAATTTTTTTAAAACAATATCATAAAACTTGAACGAATTTTAACAAAATAGAAATGATACTATGTTATATTTATACGCAGTATGCTTTTCTTCATCTTACTTATTGTTAATTCTCCTATTATGTATTTCACTTCAACGCAGCGATAATGAAAGAATAGAAATAGAAGCACTTACGATAATGAATGAAATAGAATAGCACGTCCATGCCATCAATAATACATCCCATTGACTTTAATATTTATTATTGTACTTTTGTAACTGTTTTTAAATGCAATATTTATATTTCTCTCATGAAGATTTTTCAAAAAAAGAGTTGACATATTACATTTATGAAATATGACGATATTATAAAGAGTTGACATATTACATTTATGAAATATGACGATATTATATGACTTTACCATTTGGTTTTTTCATATTCAACATAACGGATATGAGAATTGAAAAAAATTATTTTTGTTTTATCTAATTCATAAAATATGAAATAAATATGAAATAAGCACTTTCTTGAAAATCAAAAATATGGATTAAGTTATTTTTGATATCATTTGAATAATTTTACTTAATTCTATTTAAATTTTATTTAGATAAAAATTATACTTTTAATTATTGTTTATTACTTATTTAAATAAAAATTTGCCTAAAAGATTTGAATGCGGGTAGTTGATACGAGTCGAATCGGATAATTTTCGTTGAGCTCGGGCGGATTCGGAAACGAAAAATCCTTTAATTGACATATTTCACTAATTTAACCATTTCATCGAATTGACGAACAGAACAGCAACAGAAATATGGCAACATGTGAGACAACTACTTTAGTTTAGGTTTCGGCAACTACGGTTTCGTCAGGAAAACCGAAACTTGCTTGTGTCCCTTTAATTCGCTTTCTTTTGTCATTATGCACCATGCGAAGATAATTGGGTGAAAGTGTAGACTTCCTCACCGATTTCGGTGATTTTTAAATGTATTGTGACGGTATTTTGAACATATGGTGGAAGGTATATTTTATCCTGTAACGCGTATGTTGGATTTTGTTTGTTAGAGGAAAGAGTATCGATTTCGTTCGGGGTATCGATTTCTAAATGATATTTAGAGATCGTCGAAAGTAGTGAAAGAGTGGGTAATCTACAAATTCACCGGCAATCAGAATGGAAGAAAATACGAATGAGGAATGTTTTAAACTCATATAAATATATATGTTAATACTAACATATATATCATTAAACCACTCATATTTTATACCATCTTTAAATGATTTCGGCCGTCGAAAATGCAACTCAGTGAGTTCGTCTTAACAAATAACATTGTACTATAAAACAAATATGTATAGTATTGTTCAAAAAAATAAATTTGACTTCAAAATTTCGAAACAGATGTATTTTACAAGAAATAATTTACAATACATAATGTGCTTTTTTATTGTGTAGCGGCTATAGTACCTCATATAAACATTAGGGGTGTGCGGGTACTCGACATTTCGAGTTCGGGTCGGGTCAGGTAATTTTTTCGGGTTCAAATCGGGTCCCGAAAGTTTGTGATACTCGGGTACCCGAAAAATCTATAATATTCGGTACCCCAATATTATATCACTGGTCAAAGTGATAAATTTTTCAATCGGATTTTACATTTATTCTTTCAAATTTGTGAGCGAATGTTAGCCACGCCGCCCGTAGGCGTGGGAAGACTTCCTTGTCTACTCGGTAGAAGTAGCCAAGGTAGAAGAGGCCACTCAAGGTTAAGGACCTGGTGACGGTCCCAAAGTTTATGACGGATGGCCGTAAACCAGAACTAGGGTACCCGGACGAAGGTCAGAACGAAGGATATATATGCCCGAAGGAGGGCACGGAAGGACAGGAGTTCACACATTCATTCAGTGCAAACGGAAGTGAACAGTTTATTCGCAATCGCAATCGCAAACG